GGGCAATCTACTTCCATAGTGCCTTGGAAACCCAAGAAGGGGGTTGCTATGAGTCGTGTCTGACTCGAGGGCACATAACAACAACAACAACAATGCTTAGAAATGTGTGGCCACAGAAAATTTTAAAAATAAATAAATAATACTGTTATTGCAGAGAGATGGGAGGATAAATATTCTTAATCGTAATTGTAATACATTATGAAAAATGCTGAGGGTGGAATTAAAATGGAAATATTAGTTCAAGGAGAAAGTATGTAAAATGTCTACCATTTGAAGAAGAGCTTGTTTATATTGTCAATGGAAAACTATGAGCTTCTAGTAGCTCTGATGTTCAGAATCCATTTGGTGCACTTAAAACAGTAACATTATAGTTTTGCTTTGAAGTATTATTTACTATATACTGGAAATTTAGATCCTTTCAGTTATTAAAACTATTATGAAATTTTATAAATGAACTTAAGAAGATGAAATAGATACTGTTTAATAATTTGTTTTGAATGTAACATGAAAAATAATCAAGGACCACTATTCTTAGCTAGCTAAAATATGTGGTGTTGGGTTCCAGGCAGTGGGTCCCAGGCAATGATTTCACTTAGATCATAGACAATGTTATATTTCTGACAGTTTTTTTAAGTAAAGTTGAAAATCCATGCTCAGAGTATCTTGGGGATAATTAATTGCAAGAAAGAACAAGTGAGTAGGGCAGTAGCAGTCTTAATTCAACACTTGCGAGAACAAGTGCATAAAATGCAGGATAACCTTGAGCAGAATGATCAAGAGTTGATAGAGTTTAAGTTGAATTCTAAAAATAGAGAATTATTCTATTAGCAAAATGACCTTTAACAAAGGGTTCCAACAAGCTTCTGTACTAATTGGAAAAAAACAAAAAACAAAACTACGGAAACAAAGGGGAAGAGGAGTCAGAGAGCTGGATATTTATTTAGGGAAGAAGTTACAGAGGTATTTGCAATCAGAAGATGAGAAAGGTGTAAGAAAGAGCAAAGAAATTGGATCTATAAAATAGTTTACACTATAAGTAAAATCAAGAGACTGTTATTTAGGTATAGAGCTTAGTATAGGTTTCCAAGGAATACCAAAAAACCAAACTCACTACTGTGATGTTGATTCCAACTCATAGTGAACTCTCTTGGGTTTCTGAGGCAGTATCTCTATGGGAGTAGATTGTCCAGTCTTCCTTCCAAGGAGTGGTTGGTGGGTTTGAACCGCCAGCCTTCTAGTTAGCAGTCAAATGCCTTAGTCTCTATGCCAGAAGAGGGCAGAGAAATAGAAAGGAAAGAAATTTTAGAGAACATATAGGATTAAATTAAGGAAGCAAAAACAACAACAATAAAGACCATTGAGGATGGGGAGTGGGGAGGAGGGTGTGGATTTAATGGAAAACCTCTCTGAGTTAAGCAAGACCAAAAATGTGCCCTTAATTATCGTAGGAATGATCAAACAAACAAAAAAAAGGAGACCAAACTCACTGCTGTTGAGTTGGTTCCGACTCATAACATGCTAATAATGTTCAACTAGACTGTTGGGTTTCCTTTATTAATTAAGTAATCAACAAATAGTTCATGAGTACTTGCTTGATGCAGGGCACTCTGCTACATGCCATGATGATATGTGGGTGAATAGCATGGTCTCCACCAACACTTTGTTCACAAACTCATAGAAAAGCCAAAAAACATACACATAAATATATTCAAGACAAAGCAATATGTTGTGATAAAACAAGAACCCCAGAAGAGAGGAAAATTATTTCCAAATTTAGTAGACAGGGACAAATTAATTTATTTACTTAATATTAGCATAAGGAGCTTCGGTGGCATAGTGCCTAAGGCATTTGACTGCTAACCAGGAGGTTGGCGGTTCAAACCCACCAGCCAATCCTCAGAAGGAAGACTGGGCAATCTACTTCCGTAAAGATTTACCACCTTGGAAACCCAAAAGGGGTCGCTGTGAGTCAGAATCAACTGGATGACAGTGAGTTTGCATTTAATGTTGGCGTATATGTGAATAATTGTTATATATCAGCATTGTGCTCAGTGTGGGGATATAGCAATGAATAATAAGATAGACTCAGACCTTCTCCATTTAGATCTTTGTGATTCTTGGAGGGAATTTTGTGACAGCGTATTTAGAAATTTATGTTTTTTTTGAATCCTGAATCATGAGAAAAATCAGTAAATAAATTGGGAAAATGGGTAATTGTGGTAGTTAAGTCTGCGTTCAACTTGGCTGGGGCTGGTTGAGTGGCTGGGAAGCTGGATGTAGTATTCCCAATGATGACACTGGTAATCAGCTCCATGGTGGAATCTATTGTGAGAAGCTGAGTAGCTGCTTTAGGGACATGGTCTGCTTCCTGTATATAAGGAGAAGCCTTGGGGAACGGTTTCTAGCTTATGGCGTGCGTGGACCCTGCATGTAGCAGAGTTGTTGTTCAGCAGCCTGCCATGCTCTGCTGACCTTGGGACTTTTAATGGACTTGAATTAATGGCCTGCCAAGTGGTTTGGTAATATTGGGACTGTGCCTTATTACTTGTCAGCCTCAGCAGCCAGCAGCTGAGTGAAGAAAAGCCTCCAGCTTCAGTGGGCCAGGAGCAAGACGCAGAGCTGAAGCCCAAGGTTGGGGGGCTTTCATCCAGTCCCTAGACCCATTTGTGGTGTTTTCTGTTAGAGCAGTACATAGGTAACCAAGACAGTAATGTTATTATAATTCTCC